TTTAAATACATTACTTTATATTTTTAAGATTTTTAGGTTCCTTTATCAACTATTCTTACTAGTCACCTTGTATTACATTTTCAAACCTTAATAGTTAATTATAATTATAAATAATTGGTATATAATGAATTCTCATWAAAAAYCTTGTACTTATTATATTTTCAAGTATTTCAACCAAACGAAAGTTTTTTTTTATTGACTTATAAAAAAAATAACTGGAAAAATACCTATAAATAGGAAGCTTAAATGAACAAAAATGTCAAGTACCTACAGTTAACAGTTTTTGAATTACAACATTATAAGAAAATCGTTCCATTAAAATTTGTTAATTTACGGGTGAATATTCCAATGTCTAACTTCAGACGCTCACAATATTGTGGATTTATGTTTTTTTTTTAATAACAAATAACAATCTGTGGAATCTTGTGTTAAATTTTTTGAACAAGCGGGTTTTTTTCTTATTGACAATCATTAATAAAAATCGAATTAATTACTGTCTGTAAATACTAAATAGCTCAAAAGATTTTAAAAAGCATTTTATGGTCTATAGAATATGCCAATATAAACATGCGTGTTTACGGTTATTTCTTTAATAGTTACATCTGCAAAGGACAAAATTGTTTTTTTTTTTTTTTTGAAACGGGTTTTGTAGTTTTAACGCATTTGGAAACTTTTGAAATTTATTTTACTTTTGAGACCCTTCCTCCAAATTATTAACTAGATTCACTATCCTGCCAAAAAAAAAAAAACGATTACATACACACACAAATTATTGTAAAATCAATAAATTAATCACTTTAGTCAGAATACCTAAAATACATTGTGACAATATTACTTAGCTCGGGTTACTAAACTAGTCCATAATGTTAAGAAACAAAAGCGGTTCTTTTATTTATTCAATTCCAGCATTAAGAAAGGTTTAAGTAATAGATATATCTAATAAATATAACTATCTATCTATATTATATTTCTTGTATTCAATATATTTTTAACAACCTTGAATGTTGCTAACATTTTTCATTCAATTTTAACTTCCTACTGTAGGTTTGTGTTTTTCTTTGTACAACGTATACATATTTATCAATGCTACGTAGTTAATCTATTTAGTCTTGCAGAACAAAAAATCAACCTCACGTAGACATACATTATATTGTTTTTAAAAAGAATAATATTCAACATCAACTAAAAGTTAACACTGAAGTCTGAAATAGATAAAAATATTTTAAGCAGACAATACCTATTATAATAGTATGTTACCAAGATATTATGATGTATATTTAATTTGCTGGTTCAATTGAAAAGTTCAATAAACGTTATATAAATCCATGCAGCACGCACACAGTGGCGTATTTAGGGGGGTTCATCGCCACTGAAATTAATTTCCATTTATACGCCACTGCACGCACAAGCATTGAAAATAAAGAAGTATGTTTATTAATTTWTAATTATGATTTATGACATATGCGACAATATAATAATGATTTATAGTTATTTACCTCTTGAATTTTGTAGCTCGTACGCCGCGTGATGGTACGGTGTATTTCATTTTCATAGATTTCTTCGACGCTGCCCATTTTGATTCCGTCGAAAATGAATAATTCGTACGGCGAAAAAATATAATACAGGCACCGAACGAAATATAGAAACACGGTACCAAACCAATAATTAATTCAAATTCTTTAACACTCGCGCACACTGTGTTGCTGGTGCGATTATCTTAGTTGATTTATAAATTGAACAATGTTTTTTCCCGTGATAAACGTCTTAATAGTTGGCCGATTTGATGGCGCATTGGGCAGCATGCGCGTAGTAAAAACTCCCAGTCCCTATTTGATCTATATTTAGATCACTAGAAAAAAATATAAACGTGCCTGGGTGTAAAAATGAACACTCGACATCTTCTTCCTTTTCTTTCACTGATGCCATTTATTTATTTGTCGTAGTTCTTGAATGTACATTATAATCTTGTTTTTCCACCCAAGATTGTTCAATTTTCAAGGTTAAGGTCACTTATTACATACCACCAATGCATACCCACGTAATTTCATTATTCTTTATTCATTTAGTAATTTAATATAATAAAATATATCATAGACAATTGATGTAATAATTTGTTTTTGTTTATTTATTTTTATTTTTTTAAGTAAATAAATAATTAGTATATTAATCTTCAAATTAGAGTTAGTTAACATTAGTTAACAATTATTAACATATTAACAAATCTCAATACACATGTTTTCATTTTACATAGGCAGTTTATAAATATGTAACAGGTATATAATTATACGTCCAGTAAAAAGATTTCTAAAATATTTAAATATATAATAATACAAATAATTTGATGATAATAATCATTAAATGCGCTTTGAAATGGATACTTAATGCTACATAGTTTTGAAGAAGATTTGTTAGATACCCCAAATATAAAAATGTAAATGTACATAAAAACATGGTTTTAACATTAATATTTTTATGTAYATAGCTTATCAATTATCACAATAGGCTAATAACATTGCCATAAGTACATAACATACAAATTTGAAAGGAAATTTCATAATAAATAATACACACATAATTAGATATGAAAGTGTATACCTAATTTAAGGGCTTTAAATAAATTATGCTATAATTATGATTGAAAACAACATTGATCTCCATACTAATTTATGTTAGAACTTAAGAATACAAAATGTTTAGAAAATTAAAAATTTAGTTTCATTTATGAATTGTTAAAATATGTAGAAAGTATAGAAAATCTTGAATTTTTCCTTCAAAGGCTCTTTATGAAAATAATTTTTGAATGATTTATAGCCATGCTTTTTTTCCAATAAAAATAATTTAAACCCCATGTACATAATATATATAATTATGTATATAATATGTATATTTAAAAAAAGAATTAAATTAAATTATAAAAATAATATTATTATAACTTGTATCACAACTATACTTGACTAAATTAAAATATATAAGTAATAATTGGTCTATTCTTTATGTACTTCTGTACTTATCGTCTATGGAATTGTTTCCATATAATAATAAGAATATTTTTTAACAGACAATAATATTATGACTATACATTTATAAATAAATAAAAATTGATGTCGTTGGCTTAGGAATGTAGCTTTTGCATACATATATTATAAAAAATAGCCTATATTTTTTTTTTATAAAAAAGTTGTATGATGCATTTGTGCAATGATATATTTAGGTGTGTATTATAGTTGGGGAAGTGAATTTTTATGATCTTGCAATTGAGACTGGAGTGTGGAGAGTTCAGATGGTCGGAAAACACCCTTTTCAGTGATTATTCCAGTTATCAGTCGAGCTGGTGTTATATCAAATGCTGGATTCCAACAAGTTACACCTGAAATTATTTAATTATTTTAAATTATTTAATTAAATTTCTTATGAGAAATAAATACATCAGTTAAATTAATTAAAAAAATAAATAGATATTTAAACAACCCATGGAATTCTAAACTTAAGCAATATTATAGTAGTGATGATTTTCAGAGAAAATAAGTATTGCCAGATTGTTTAAAATATATGTAATATTGTAAATTAATATGAATGTGAAAAATTTTTTTAAATAATAGTCTATTAATGGCGAAGGAATTTTTAATAATAATTAATAATTAAGTATAATTAATTAAATATTTTGTGATAACAATTATTAAATTGATGATTTTTAAATACAAAAATAAAAGTGTACATACTACTAGGCAGATTTGATTTTTTTATTAAGATGAAAACACTGTGTTACGTGAATACTATAGTTGATTTCAAAACCATTCAATTTACATAGAAGACTATTATACAGGGTGATTTTTTTATCGAAGAACACTCATTATTAAAAAAAGTATTGACTTTTTCAAAATACTTTTTTACATAGTTTCAAGTTGTTAAAAAACAAACGTTTTTAATAAAAACTTATATTTTTATAATATATCCTTATAATTTTTTAAGTTTTTACTTTTTTGAATGACAACATAGAGTTTTAATTTCATATTCTAAAGCAGAATATTTTTCTAAGTATTTTGATTCATAAAAATCGAATTTAGGAGGAGAAGTTTATGGGTTATAAGTATAACCTTTTTAATAAAAATGTTGGGAGTTTAACAACTTGAAACCATGTAAAAAAATATTTTGAAAAAGTCAATACTTTTTGAAATAATGAGTGTTTTATGATAAATCAATCACCCTGTATATTACATATATTGTAGCTAAAAGATTTTTTTTTACTTTACAGTTTTAATCACTGATATATTTATCTTAATGCCAATACCTAATTGTAGAATGAAAATAACAACCCCCTATAATACTAATATAATAATATCTATACATTTGATCATGAACATAGAAAAATTGCTTCTGTTCTAAAGAAGTTGATCAACATTAATTGTTTTAATCGCAAGGAACGCAACTGACACTGATAATAGTAATTTAGTATAGTAAATATACCTGTCATTTCAATTTTTTGGATTATTTAGTGTAAACTATAAAATTTTTTATACAAGTTAATGTTAAAAAATTTTAATATTTAAACAAAGTAATAAAAATTGTATGGATATGTATATACTGCGTACAGTTAAAACTAACATTTATTTTGCAGCGTTCCTTATGAAGTCACGAAAATGTTAAATTTATAATATATGGTAGATATTAGATAAAATACACACATTATGAATAGTTATTTAGATAATAGTTAATTAGATACAGTTTACTTAAAAGAAGAAACATAGTACATAGAAAATACATTTAAGAATATTGCATCATATAACTACCAATTTTTTCTTCACACTACTATCTTATATTCTTTTGGAAATAATTAAATATTTTATGTTCTAATATTATACTTTACATACAATTTGATGCATACCAGTGAATTATGCTTACTAAATAACAGCTTAATTTATAATTATCATTATTAGTAATTAATTACATTTCACATTGTGTCTTTTAAATTATAAATATTAAGAACTTTTTGGTCAGATCCTTGAATTTAAGTAACCAAGTCCAACTTTACTAATAAAATGTATTATCCTTAGAAATAATTTATTTATATAAAAGAACATACAACAAAAATAATAACTACTAATAAATTAGTCCAATGTTGGTATTATTAATAATTAAACATTTTTTTTTTTTTTACCTGGAGAAGCTATTCTAATATTATTTATATGAGTCATTTCCACTTGAGGTCTCTCCTCAATCACTATATTATCACCAGCATTTACATTAAAATCAATTGAAGTTAGTGGAGCAGCTACATAAAATGGAACCTCGTGGTGTTTGGCAACTACAGCAATCTATTTAGAAAAAAACAAGTTATAATTTACATTATGACAATTTAGGTATAGGGTGTCCAGCAAAGATTCACCCATTGCGACATCTCACGAAATAATGGAGATATCAAATTTCTGGTTTTGTAATAAGACTCACAGGGAGAAGAATTACAATTATTTCATATTTTAATTTATTCTAATATTTGAGTAAAAATTTTTAAATATATTTTTTTATTTAATCATTTCCAAAATAAAATTAAAGATTTTATAGAGTTTGTTTATCTGAAAATATTAAGGTTTYAAAATATTATTTTCATTAAATTACTGATGTTTTATATTTTACTAGTTTTGAAGAAATAAAATATTATTATAACTAGGAACACTGAAATGTGACAACTTAAGGTGTACACAAACACACACACAAAATACAACATTGTAAAATCAATACATTCATCGCTCTGCTCAGAATCTAAAATATATAAATTTTTAACTTTTTTATCAAAACATTAAAATACATTAGAATATAAAATAATTGTAATTCTTATCTCTGTGAGTCTTATAACAAAACCAGAATTTTTATATCTCAATTATTTTGGGAAATATTGAAATGGATAAATCCTTGTGGGACACCCTGTATGTAATGAATGGCGTTTTAAAATTTAATGTAACTTTGAAATGATTTACATCGCCATTAGTTCAAAAATTTACAGTGGTTTGTATAGAAGAAAATCTATAAAAATAAAAATCTATGAAATATTAATGTATTCAAATAGAATAMAATAAGAATCTTCATGAAAAAGTTATATGATACTTTTCTAAGCAAAATACAACGACCATATTATTGTACCAGAAAAACTAGCAATGCACTGTTGATTATTTTTTTAAATATGTTTTTACAATGAGCTGTCTCAGCTCATTTCCTTTAGTGGTTTATTATTATGAAGTTGTTATTAGTATGTATGCATTTAACTGGTTGGTGCATACAACARCTTAATGGCTTGTTCTCAAAGGATTAGCGGAATGGAGAAGTATGAATAATAGTATTATGAGTGTTCTTGATTGGCACTTTAAAATTTATAGTAGAAAAATGGAATTAATAGAATATTTTTTGGGGGACAAGTTGATGATCAACTAATTATAAAATGTTAAATTAATTTCTCTTCTTTTTCCTAAAAGAAAACTAAGCTAGAACAAGCTTTTGAAAAATTGGATACATTTTTAATTAATAATAATTAGTATATTGTAAAAGTAATTAGATATACCAACTTGATAAGTTCCAATTTTGTTAGCAGTGTCTCCATTAGCTGCTACCCTATCAGCACCAACAACAACAGCATTAATCTGAGCAGTCTTCATTAAATAAGCAACAGTACTATCACAGACCAGGGTTGATGGTATTTTATCATGAACTAATTCATAGGCAGTTAATCTAGCACC